GATAATAGTAATAATGACAACAATAATAGTGATAATAATAAGGATAATAACAGTGATAATAGTAATAACGATAATAATAATAACGATAATAATAGTAATAACGATAATAATAATGGTAATAATAATAAACTGACAATTGGGGAACTGTGAGAATTGTAAGATTATAGTTCTGTAGAGTGTGAAATTTTCATATTGCAGCTGTTATCGTTAGATCCGTTCATGGTTGAGCCAAGTATCAATCAACTTCTCGATGTCGGCACGTCCAGTGCCAATGGATTAGCACTGACGGTGATGTGTGTTTGTCTGAACAGTCCTCAGCTTGTTAGCAGTCTGTTATGTGCCCTGCTGAATAGGCGTTCGCTCGCCTCATTCATACAACGATCGTCCAACAAACCCGCTGTCAAGCTGCTGCACGATCGAATTTCCGAAGCTATCAGCGCCGCTTCCTCGAGGTATTTTTTATATTAGCGCCTATTGTTTTTATGAAAACACTACGAAGATATAAGCGAGGTAGGAGGAAGGAAAAGGGAGGTTGCTTTATCTAATGCTACATTTTCGTGTACATTTTAGTCATGTGCTACCGTTTATTCATATAAATTTCAGCATACCTACGCATACATGCATATTTATGTAGTCATAGATAAATAGAAGAGTAGAAGAATTTCACTTGAATGTTATGTGTTTGAAGACATTTTATGACGCAGTCTGTGTTTCATCCCCAAGCCGTATACACAGACCGAACAGTGCATGCGGGTAGGAGTGGGAATCTTCAGTACAGCCTCCTACCCGCTATTTTTCGAATAGTCATGTGTGTAATTTGCAAGACAGTTGACAGGAAGAAATGGAAGTGAAGGGATAAACAAAGTAAGAAATGAAGTAAAAATTGTGTATAAAGCCTCTGGAGCTTTATTATTTAGACAAGATTTGGGTATAATTAAACCAATTTAGAGCGTCATTCCTAATTAAACCAGTTTACAGCGTCATTCTTAGTTCATGCTTGACCGTTAAAACCAAAACCAAAGTAGCTTATCGGTGCAGGATCTAAGATCACCGTTTGCAGTTTTGAATAAAATTTGTATATAGTCAGCTATATTAGACGAAATAGCTCAACTTGCCGATATTTTCAGTGCAGTGAAAGGTATGGAAGCTAGTTTGGCGCAGTTATTAGCAGTACTTCGAATCAGCGCTGGCATGCGCCTGAGCAGTGAAGAAACCAATGCCTGGCTGCTATTCGTCACTCGAACAGATCTTGACGACGATCGCTACATTTGCACAGCACTTTCTGTGATTATTGCCTGCCCACAGTTAATACCGTAAGTGTTCCATTGCATATTCTAATTGAAGCACAATAACATTCGCTCATACAGCTGGATTTTTTTTTTTTTTGTATTTCGCATAATTCAATTTTTTCTGATTTCCCTGATTTTTTTTTTAAGTACTGTGACACTTCTGTATAGTGCCCTTGACTGATAATCTTCACCCTTCCTCCCTTCGTCTGCCTCGTCCCTCTACTAATCCGCTTTCCCTTTTGCTACGGAACTAGCGGTCAAGCTGTTTTTCTCATCGGATTGTCACGCAAACTCCGTAAACGAGTGATTATTAGCCTTTTCTTCCATCATCTCCATTACCCTGTCTTTTATCTCTTCACTATCCTATTTTTCTCCTTTTTTTGGTTCATATTTAACTGCAATTTTGGTGTATTTGCTGGAGGCAGCGTCCCCAGTCTCCGGCTGATGGCTTGAATTTGTCGGTAGAAAAATCACTTTTTTTACAATTTGTTGACTGAAGATAACTTGATGGTAACAAAGGCCACTGAGTCAGATTTACCATCAGCTTTCTTAAAAAAAAGTTACTGTTGGAAGAAGAGGGCGATATTGACAATTTGTCGGTGGATAATTGCTGTTGGCAAAGTGTTCTCCTTCAAGAACTTTTGCCTGTTTTTGCGAGTAACGTGTGGGAAATTTTGTAATTTTAATTACTGTTACATTCTGCTACTTACATCTTTTTTTGGGGGGGAGGGGGGG